TCAGAGAGAGCGATACCTGGGCTGCACCCCGGTTTTAAGGGTTGCGGAGGTCACTGGGCGTGACGTCAGTGGTCCCTCCCGGAAGCAGTGGGATTTTGGGAATAAGAGTTTTAACTGGGCTGCGGATGTACCTACACCTGTTTAAAAAAAAGATTCAATTTAGATCTGTCCATTACTTACACAGTAACAACTCACACACCATTCCAGTGCCACACATATTTGTGCACACACACAAACAAAAACACAAAAAGAAGTCACGTTTAATTGCTTTATGCATGAAAAGTGCCACATTGTCTGCCTCAAACACACATTATACGTACATATATACATGAACACAAGATCATCCTGTCGCGTACTGGCATCGCAGGAAGCAGGCAGGACCCAAATGCAGTACTGGTGAGACTCTTTCTGGTGCAGGAAGTTTTATTAACAATGTCCAAATTAACAAAACACGAAGAACTAACAGGCATGGAACTCTCGAGGAACTCGAGGAACACGAGGAAAACGCTAGGAAACGGAGTAGGAAACTCACGAACACGAAGATCTAACACAGTCACAATGATCAAACACACACAACCACAATGATCCAACAACCACAGAGTGAGGGAGAGGGGTATATATACACAGGGAACACCAGGTGACACAAGTGAAGCTAATTACCAAACAGGTGAGTGTGATCCCATCAGATTACCCCACAAAGAACACAGGAAAACATGGAAACAAACAGACATGACAATTTTTTGAACCAATGTCATCGTTTAACTGTGTTTAAATATATAATATTATATGCTATATAATGTTTTTAGCAGCCCCTGCTGGTCAATGTTAGTACTGCAGCCAAAACAGCCCAGTCCCATACTTTTACTTTTTTTTTTTTGCTTTTGCTTGTTATAAACAACCACTTCACAATCGTACTCAGAACGTGTATTGTGGACACAACATAGCTGTGCTTGGGTTACACACGTAAAAGTAGTTTTTCATTTGAACTGAGACAGAAAAAAAACCATCCATCAATATGAAATCAACTAATTTCTAAAACAGCATATCTATTTTTAATTTTCTATTGTCAAGCAACTTGAAAATGTATCTGATTTATCAGAGTTTTTATTAGCTAAGTTAGGCTAAATTTGGTCCATTGCCAAAAGACTAATGATCCACATGTGGGTCAGGAGCCACAGGTTGAAGAGCCCTGGATGATAGTGATGTGTCGTTCGCGAGTGATTCGTTCAAAATGAACGAATCTTTCATATGAGTCGTTACTCCCGAGTCATATGAAAGATTCGTGACTCGTGACTACCGAGTCATATTAAATATTTATTCATATTGAACTCACAAATCACTCACAAATCACTCACTGCAAACAAATCACTCTCTGCTAACTAATCTTTCATTGTGAACTAATCTTTCACTACGATGTAATTACTATGCAAACTAATCTTTCACTGTGAACTAATCTATCATTGCAAACGAATCACTCTCTATTAACTAATCTTTCACTGTGAACTAATCTTTCACTACGATCTAATTACTCTGCAAACTAATCTTTCACTGTGAACTAATCTATCATTGCAAACGAATCACTCTCTATGAACTAATCTTTCACTGTGAACTAATCTATCATTGCAAACGAATCACTCTCTATTAACTAATCTTTCACTGTGAACTAATCTTTCACTACGATCTAATTACTCTGCAAACTAATCTTTCACTGTGAACTAATCTATCATTGCAAACGAATCACTCTCTATGAACTAATCTTTCACTGTGAACTAATCTATCATTGCAAACGAATTACTCTCTGCAAACTAATCTTTCACTGTGAACTAATCTTTCACTACGATCTAATTACTCTGCAAACTAATCTTTCACTGTGAACTAATCTATCATTGCAAACGAATCACTCTCTATGAACTAATCTTTCACTGTGAACTAATCTTTCACTACGAACAAATTACTCTCTGCAAACTAATCTTTCACTGTGAACTAATATATCATTGCAAACGAATCACTCTCTATGAACTAATCTTTCACTGTGAACTAATATATCATTGCAAACGAATCACTCTCTATGAACTAATCTTTCACTGTGAACTAATCTTTCATTGCAAACGAATCACACTCTCTGTGAACTAATCTTTCGCTGTGAACTAATCTTTCGCTGTTTTAGTGTCGGAGAACCGCAGCCTTCTTTACAACGCCCACAATAGGGCTAAAGCGCCACCTGCTGTAAAACGAATGAAATGATTAGTTCAACATTCGTTCACGACTCGTTCATTTTACTGTTAGAGAGTCAAAGATTCGAATCAATAAAAAGAGTCGGTCTTCCCATCACTACTGGATGAGGAAAATAGCTTTATGTCTATGTGAAGTGCTGTGTGTATGTGTGTCTCTCTCTCTCTCTCTGTGTGTGTAACGCCCCCTGACTTTGTCAGTAGCAGTCAGTGCTGCAGCTCGTCCCTCAAGTAATTTACAACTCGGGAACACAAGAGACAACATCTCTGTCTCGCACAGAGGATCCGCTGGAGGATGAATTGAAACTTTTTTTTTTAGAACTTCCATTTCTTGTTTTGTTTTATATTTTTTATCTTTTACCGTAAAGGGGGAACACAAGGTCGGATCTATGAAAAAGCCACGTGGATTAGTAAAACCGTGTTAAAGCCGAAGGAATGTATAATTTCTTTGCCAAACTAACTTTCCTGTTGTCGCTAATCGGACATACACGAGGTCAGTGGCTGCATTCTTTTACTGCTATTTACTTTATTAGTTTATATGCGTTAAAGTTTCGCAACACGTAACTTCTTAACGGTTTTTGTTTAACTTTTCAAAGTTGTGGTCGATAAAGTTAATGTCGTAACCTGAAGTCTAGCGGCGCAACTATTAACACCAAGTTCTTTCTGGAACTTTCTAAAATGTATATTAATTGGATAATAATAATGATAATAACTTTCTTGGTTAGCATTAGCTTCCATTCACCTGTTGGCTTCACCCCAACATGTCTGGGCACATTAGCCCCCGGACTTCTCCGCCATCCTTTATATCAGTATATTTAGTAGGAATTAACCAGGGTCATAGTAAAGATGTGGGAAACACCAACTAATCAATATAAACAACAAAGGATTTTCATAATATGACAACCGTCATTTTTACAGTTGAACTTCTTTCGGAAAATTTCGAACTAAATGAAAAATAACGGAAAATCTAAAAGAAATATGAAAACAAAAAATTCCGACTAGAGACGATATTCCTGGAAAACGGAAGGGATTTGACAAAAAGTGAAATAGAGAAATACATTTAAAAAATATATATATTTATTCAGTTACAAGTTCCGGTCCAGATGGGATGCACTTCAAATTGATGTCATTGAGTGACATGTAGTGATGTGACGTTCGCGAGTGATTCGTTCAAAATGAACGAATCTTTCATTTGACTCGTGACTCCCGAGTCATATGAAAGATTCGTGACTCCCGAGTCATGTGAAAGATTTGTTCATATTGAACTCACGAATCACTCACAAATCACTCACTGCGAACTAATCACACTCTGCGAACTAATTACTCACTGCGAACAAATCACTCTCTGCGAACTAATCTTTCACTTCGAACGAATTACTCTCTGCAAACTAATCTTTGACTGTTAACTAATCTTTCACTATGAACAAATCACTCTGCGGAACTAATCTTTCACTGTGAACTAATCTTTCACTACGAACGAATTACTCTCTGCAAACTACAGGGAGTGCAGAATTATTAGGCAAATGAGTATTTTGACCACATCATCCTCTTTATGCACGTTGTCTTACTCCAAGCTGTATAGGCTCGAAAGCCCACTACCAATTAAGCATATCAGGTGATGTGCATCTCTGTAATGAGAAGGGGCGTGGTCTAATGACATCAACACCCTATATCAGGTGTGCATAATTATTAGGCAAATTCCTTTTCTTTGGCAAAATGGGTCAGAAGAGGGACTTGACAGACTCAGAAAAGCCAAAAATAGTGAGATATCTTGCAGAGGGATGCAGCACTCTTAAAATTGCCAAGCTTCTGAAGCGTGATCATCGAACAATCAAGCGTTTCATTCAAAATAGTCAACAGGGTCGCAAGAAGCGTGTGGAAAAACCAAGG